GCCACCAACAGCACTTGGTGGGTGTGAACTCCAGGCCAGGAAGTGCTTTAGAGACTTCGCACGCATCATCTTACTGAATTTGATAGCCACTGGCATTTGCACTTCACATGTAGGGACACTGAGGCTGGGGGAGGCGCCACAGATTCCCTAACACCACAGAGCTTGCAAGGAGCACAGCTGAGAGCTGGAAGCAGCTTGCTCCAGTCAGGGCCCAGGCTCTCACCAAGCGTATTACTCAGGTTCCCGGAAGAAGACAGGTGGGACCCCCAACCCAGCCGTGCCTGTTATGAGAATCCTAAAGAAAGCACAGGCTGAGGGGCAGAGCGGGGCAGAAACATTTCAGGTCAGTAAGGGATGCCAAGAACCCAAAGTGGGGCTCAGACTCATCACCTGCTGAAGCTCGGGACCGGATTCTGCAGAACCCCTGGGAGGGTCCAGAGAGACGACACGCGTCACGGGCCTGGCCCAGTGCGAGGCACGTGATCCCAACTGAGAACAACAAAAACCTCCCCAAAACCAATGTTAAGAAGGGGAATTTATAGTGCAACAGCTGAGAATATGAACTCTAACGCAAAACAACAAAACGACGAAACCAAAGGCATCAGCCTACGAGCCACAGGGCCTGGACTTAGGTGCTCGCGTTCATTGCATTTATAATGTGATGCCTGTAAGGGCATGGGGTCTCCCTGCCACTGACCAGAATATGGAGCTCACAGTCCACCAGGGTTGGCAGATTTCCAGGAAAAACCACGAGCACAGTGCTCAGAATAGAAACGGCCATGCGGTCATCACACGATAGAAGCCACTGAACTTACGAACGATAAGCAATGACCAATGGTACTTTTATTACCCCACAACACTCCTTGCCCCTTCAAAATGTTTCAGAGACAAGAATGTGCTACAAAATGCAGCAGGGATGGCCACAGCGGCACACATCTTGTGCTCTGCCCTAAGCCCAGCCTGCCCCTCTCCTCTCGTCATCTCCCCTCACGCTGGCCTTCGAATGGACTTCTTCTGAAAAGGGAAGGCAGGGTGCACCAAGTGGAAACTAAGAAGATTCCTAGCAGGGAGAATCTGGGAATGCAGCAACAAAAGTCATCCTCCATGTTATTTCTCTCACTGGCCAATCTATGGGCAGAAGAATTCAAATTTTCTTGCTCAGTAGAGATCCCACAGGTATCAGAGGGTTTTTCCTAGGTTCCCAGGCCACGCCACAGCAGCCACGCCAGGGTAGCCACGTGAAGGTGGCCACATGACCTGGGGGTGGAGAGGAAAGAGCTGCAGAAGGCCAGGCTCTAAGCCTGCTGCAGTCTCTGTGGCTGGCAAGCCTTGACTTTAATTTATCTATTTTCCTATGAAATTACCAGTCAACACTTCTGCAAATGAAAGGTCACTGGTGGCTCATCTCTCAAGAACACTTCCTGACTAAGAAAGTGAGCACCGAGAGGCACCATGGGGGTCACCATCCACACGTGGCAGCCTGGGAAGACACCAGTGGAAGAACACTTCTTTCCCACCCTCTGTTGCTGCCTCCCCTCTGGCTGGGGAGGTGATGCAATGCTTATCTGGAACTTGATAGGATGTAGAAAATAATTACAAATGAAAAGGTTATTCATAATTTTTAAATGAGTTAATTAGTAAACCCAGTCAGACTCACTCATTACAGTAATTAATAATTGATTATACTTGAAATTAAACACAATTTTTCATCAAAAATCTAATTAAATATCTGTGCTTTTGCCTGTTGATTAGATCAGTTGGTTTGTTGGAAAAGACTCTTTGTTAAGGATATTTGTACTTGGCTGAGACAATTAATTTGATTTTTAATAATTGATAGTTCCTTACAAGTTAGTCATCACAGCCTGTAATTGTGGCCAAGCAACAAGACGCTGGGGCCTTGCCCTCCACAGCTGGCAGAGACCACGCTGCCTCCTCAGGCCCTGAAGGAAGGGTGTGGCTCCCCCGCCTGTGGGGCCTTCACCTCTCCAGCTTGCTGCAGCCTCCCAGATACCCGGGCAGCAGCTGGTCAGGCTTGTCTCCCGGAAGAGGAAATCAGAGGCAGGCTTAGCAGGGAGTTGCTTAAAGAACAGCTGCCACGTGGGGAGCCAGCAGGGGACCCAGGGCTGTTAGACACCTAGGCCACGTGCTTCCCCAAGCCCCTGCTGCTGAGCTCCTCAGCATCCAGGCCTAAGGTCTCCACACTGACAGGAGACTACATGTGTTCTTGGCCAGGCTGCATCATCACAGAGCAGCCTCCCCACAACCTGAGACTGTGAGCTGGTCCCCCTCCCCACCTCCAGGACAGCACTGTCTTAGTTGTGGCCCTCAGCTTGTCCTGACTGAGTTCCTGAAAGTGTCCTCGCAGCTCTGCCTTTTGCTCCTCCCTTCCTCCATCCCTAACTTTCTGAAATACCGATATCCTACCGCTGCTTCCAACTCCCAATGCCTCCCCAGCTGCCATGAAGTAAGGAGCGCAGCTTGGCACCAAGTGGCCTCCCCAGCGACTGAACACTTCCACCCTGGCTCCGAGGGTGCCCCAGACAAAACCACTCCACCATGTGGACTCCTTCAAGTCCCTGTGGACTCACTGGGCTTGACATGACCCTCCCGCATGCCTACCTCTGGCTAACTCCTACTTGCAGATTCAGGGCAAGCATCGCTTTCCCCAGAAACCTTCCCGAGTCTTCCTGGCGCAGGCTGGGTATTCCCACAGCCTGAGCTTCTGGGAAAATGAGTCCTTCATTTAGAATTAGATTTGCCTGCTCCCATGGGCCACCACTTTTCTAAGCTCTGGGCACCGTGGGGCAGGGGCCCAGATCCTTCACCTCAGTGTTCTGCACAACCTCTGGCTCAAAGGCGGTGCTCTGTGTGGCTTGCTGAATGAAAGCTATGACTCACAAAATTATTAAAGATTCAAAGGCCACCTAGCTTGAAGGGAACATTAAAGGTCACGCAAACCTATATTTACCAAATTGTCAATGAGCTCTTTTGTATTCTTATTATGACAGGGAGCCTGCTGCTTTTCAACAGTAGTCTCCACCTTGGGGTAGATGAAGATTGAACACACATTCTTATTAAATGGGAGAGGAAGAACCTGTGGGGTAGAAAATAATTCCTTTAACCATGTGAAGATTTGTTTTCTCCCTAAAGTGGGCTACTTGGTATAAGCCTCAAGGCCTCAACACCAGTGGTCGTCTATACTCAGTGAATGTCCTCACTTTTCAAACTAACAGTTCCTGTCTAAAGGTCCACTCATTTAGGAAATACTATAATGCCAGGAAAAAGCAAGGGCTGTGCCGGTGGGTGGTGGGTTTACAGCATTGATAGTGCCAGAGGAAATTTTCAGGGGATAGCTCTTCAGTTTGAGCACTCCTACCTGGAACCCAGCCTACATCAATGATGTCACTTGCACAGAGCCTCGGTAGGCCTGAGTGCTCCCAGCTGGCTGTTCCTCTTGTAAAGGAGTGGAAAATGCTGGTACCTGATCTATACACTCCATTCTTGGGACCAGGACAGACATCATTAATCGATCACAGAGACTCTACTGGTGAGTCTGCATATGTATAGCCCACGATCCTTCTCAACACAACTTTCTAGAAAGCAACGACGAAACAATTGGAAGGACAAAATATGGACGGTGTCCTGCCATGGGGCCGTGCAATTCTCGGAGCCTGTATTCACAAGGAGAAAAGAGATGGGCCTTATGGAGCAAGGCTTTTGTAGCTTGAGACGTAAGGCTTCCCTATTTGCAGGAATACTGTCCGCCTGATTCCTTGTTGTGATAAAATTCAAGAATTTTGACACGCAAGTGGCCAAATCCCCAACACAGGTGAAGTGTTTGGCTGCTTCCTAAACAAGAGGTGGCCTGCGCTATTAAACATGCTTGAGGTGGCACTTCCTGCCTGTCCAGACTGGCTCACCCATCCACCCATCATGACGCTGCCTGGTGGGTACAAATGTCCTTTCTCTTTTCTCGGTGGGCAGCGCTTTGCCTTTCTTCGGCTTCTGCCAGGTAGGGCCACTACTTGCTGGGCTATACTCTTTCTCCCCCCCTCAAAAACCCCATTTCCTTACGAGAGGACCTTTGAATTTCTTAGTGTGGATTCAGACCTTCTCCAGCTGGCCTGGCCTGCTTTCAGTCTTAGAACTATAGAACCTGAAGCTTGGAAGGACACCAACAGTGAGGCCCTCTCCCTCTGGATACCTTTCTTAACAGGCTGCATTCTCTGGGGCCACAAACTGTACACAATTTCTCTTTGGCTTAATCACTTTCTCTGGAGAGGACCCAAAACAGAGGCCAGAACTGGGAAACCAGATTATGTGAAAAATACACCCAATAGGGTGGAGAGGGAGCCACCTGTTGGGAGCTAGGCAGCTGGGCCCGAGCAGCTTCTTACACCACACGCGAACCCTGAGGTCAGGGAGGAGGTCTCTGACTTCCTTCAGCAACTCTATTTGCTCGTGGGGATGTGCTGCTCCGCGGTTGGGATTCTCTGTGCTTCCTGACCCTGGTTTAATTCCAGGTAGACTGCCTTGGCAGGCGGCACCGTGGGGCACGCTTCCTGGCAGCGTCCTTCGAGTCCCAGGGCATTTCACCTTCTTCCTGCCCTTCATTGCGGCTAAGCAGTGCCAACAGGAGAGGCCTGCTTACTGTCAGCCTCTCCACCTTGTCATGTCATTTGTGCTGAGTCCTGTCTGTGGCACGCATGCTGCCGACCCCCACCACAGAGGCAGTCCTACTGCACGTTTGCCCCAATGCCAGGCATCCCGAATAACCACAGACTGTAGTTTCCTTCTTGGTCTAAGTGCAGAAGGAAGGGAGAGGACTCAGGGAGCTGACCCTGATAGCCTGGGGAGCACAGCTCTGCTGCACCTGGGCGACCGGCCTCACAGCACGCAGGGCTGCTGGGCTGGAGGGGACTGCAGTGCCCACCGGTGTCCGGTTAGCTACCTCTGGGTTGAAGGGGAGCTGAGGGGAGTTGGGGAGACGGGGTGCTTACCCACAAAGTACGCTAGCAGGATGATGAGTGTGGCCGAGATGACGATGGCACTCAGAGCTGCGCACTTCCAGTTGCAGTACTTGGAGGGCTTCTTGAGGTTAAAGGTCGGTCGGGCAAATGTGCTGCGGGGCAAGGGCCGGGGTGGAGGCGAATACACGGTGCTGGACGTCAGGGGGTATCCTGGAGACGAGGTACAGAAAAGCGGGGAGGTCCCTCCAGGCTTGAAGAGGAAGTGCCTGTGGACAGAGAGAGGCAGACCTCGTCAGTGCTGGCTGGCTCGAGGCACCAGTGGCACCCTGCAGGGCAGGCGAGGCAGCAGGAGGAGCATGCAGAGGAACCTGAAGAGAGGAAGAGTCACCACAGAGAAGATGGCAGGGGCGGAGCACAAACGGGGCACAGGGAGACGGGTTTCCACGAACACGAATGGGACGGCCCTTCCCACGGGAGAGCCCACCCAAGCCGAGGCAGCGCCACCTACTCGACAGAGACCGGCCGTGGTCTTTTTCCTGGGAAAAGGTGGGCTGGAGGACATGTCTTAGGAAATAAAACTACCTGTTTTCTGAAATTATTGCAGTAAGTTGGAAAGTGCCTGAAATCTACGTGTCCCTTGGTGACAACTGGGACCTAACAGCTTTCTTCTCTTCCGATACCCACATTGCCAGTGTACCCTGGTGAAGCATTAGAATACTTTGAACTTTGTTATGAGTATTTGTTTTTTGAGACAAGGTCTCACTAAATAGCTCAGGCTAGCATTAAACTTGGAATCCCCCTGCCTCGGCCTGTCAAGTGCTGGGATCACAGGAGTGTGCCACCATATCCAGCTAGAATACCCTTATTTTTAATGAAAACTTTGTCGGGGTAGAAGCCAAGAAGCCACCACAAGGTGTGTCCGTAGCCAGGCGTCCTTGTGTGGGTGCTCCAAGTGCAGGCAAAGCAGCTCAGGCTGCTGCAAGAGCCAGGTGAGCGCTGGGCAGGCCGGCCAGGCAGCTGCGCCTGACAGCCTGGCCGCAGGCCTACGGGCAGCGAGGATGGTCAGAGCACACGGTTGTGGCCAAATCAGACGTCAGGAAGTCTCCTCCACAGTGTGGCTTTAACCATGGCCATGCGAGAACCGGCTACAGCTGGAACGTGGGGTGCACTGCCCACACTGTATGCCCCTGCAAGACTTAGAGTAAACCCACTCCTTTTGGGGTACAAATTGATTTGGGCCAAAGAATACACACTCAGGGCCAGAACACACACAATGCAGAGACTGTGCTGCATAAACACTGCTACATGAGATGGTTTTCAGGATGGTGAAGGCAGCCAGTGATGGATGGCAATAGGAGGGACAGGACGCCCCAAGGATGGACTGTTGAAGTCGAGCGTGGGCTTGGGAATGGGCATGCAACATGACACCACTTCCCCCAGAGAACCCCAGGAAAAGTCTCAGGGTATGCATGCAAGGGCAAGAGCCCCAGGGACAGCACACGCGGAGAGGAGGAGCATGGGGATGTCACCTACCCGTCACCGTAAGCCCCATCATGGCGGGAGGCGCTGAGAATGTCCATCTCAATGAGGTTGTCCTGCAATGTCCCTAGGAAGGGCTGCTTGCCTAGGTTTCTACACACACATGGAGACATGAATGGAGCAATGAGTCATGCATCGATGAAGGGGAGATCAAGAAACAAACAAAGTGGCTGTTGGTGCAGCTGTGCAGGAGACCAGCGGGACACAGACTGCAGGCAATGGGTCAGTGTGCAAGGCACTATGCAAGGGGCCTGCCGGGCTCGCAGCAGCATCGGAGGGAGGGAGCACTCGCTGTACAGACCCGAACGTCCGGCAAGCGCGTGCATCAGATCACTGCTCTCCCTGACGCCTGGCCTGCGTCCAGCACTGAATTAGGGTATTATATCCATTCTCCCAAATCTTCAACATAGGCTACACAAGGAAGGCAATGTCATCCCCATTTCACAGACGGTAAGACAGAGGAATGGAGCAGCACCAGAATTTGCCAAGGCCACCAGCGAGCAGGGCTCACAGCGAGAGTTTGGGCTCAGGCTCATCCGGGTCCACGTCCTGGGTTTTCTCCTCTACTTCCTGTTGAAGTGGAGCCAGAGATGCTCCTTTGGCTTGCCTAAAGAAAGAGAGCCAGGCATCTTTGGGCCTCATCTTCAAATGTGAGCACGCAGCGGAGCTGTCTGGAGAGACTCAGAGCTGGCAGGTTGGGGCAGGCTTGGATGTATGTGTTTCTCCAGCCTGCAGGTTAAGGCTGACTGTGGGCAGACTCCTGGCCTTGAGCTGCATGGGGCTCCAAGTGAGGACTGATCAGAAAGGATGGCACCCACCAAAGAGAGGGGGCATGGGCTTTCCGTCCCCAAGCGCAGCACAGCTTTATGTGATGTCAACTAAACCTCACCCCAGTGAGGGCAGCCACCTGTCCCTTTAGTGCTGCGCGTGCCTGCGAGACGCTGCTGTGCGCACCCAGGTGAGCAGCTCTATTCGCAAGACTGCTGCCACCCAGAAGACCTCGCAGTGCAGCAGCTCTAGCAAGCTCATGAGCGTGAGCTGCAGCTCGCAGCCGGCCTTGGGTCCTGCCAGGGGCTTCCCTGACTCGACAGGTCTTGAGAATACTTACCAGACTCACAGCCCTTTACGGCTCCTAAAAGGAACCCTCTTAATCTTACTTGCTTCTGGAAAATGGGGATTTGAGTCTAAGCCCACCAGGTTACTGGAAGGACCGGCCAGGTCAGTGCTGGATGAACTGCTGAGTCACATAAGTGAGACAGAAGCGCCAATACGAAGGGCAGCAGGCCACACCTCGTGCACTCACCACGCAACCTTTGCCACTCTAGGACCTCTGCAGTGGCTTACTGCACAACTCACTTCTTAAAGCCACTCTACGATGTCTGAGGAATGACTTTCCTGAGGTTTTATCAGCCAAGCCAGCAAAGCAGGCACAGAGCCAGGTCTTACTAGAGCCCAGTGCTCAGGTCTCCCTGTTTCTTCTGTACTGCCTGAAACTCTCGCTCCTTGATCAGCCTCCAAGACCAAGCTGCGGAGCTGCAAGGACTGGCTAGAGCCCGCTTTACTAACATCCTGGGATGCTGAGAGCAGAGGGGGACCCTGCTTACAGGGCACTGTAGCAGGGCCGGTTCCCGGCACACAGCCGGGGAGGCAGGTGGTGCTCAGGGCCCTGGGCCGGCTACAGTAGCTGTGGGGAGCTGCAGAGGTGTGGAAATCAGAGTGACTTCATTTCTATCTCCAGGCAGGTGACTCTGCGGATGAGAGCCCGGTGGGGAGCGTGGAGGCTCTGAGGCCAGACCCAGCTGGATTCAGGTCCCAGATACATCATTCTCCCACCCTCGGGAGGTGAGTTGATGACTCCGAGCATCCATACAAGGGATCACTGTGTGCCTTAAAGAACCTACTGTGTGATGTGGACAGGTAATTTCTGTGCCTTCCTCACCCTTAGCAGGACCCACAAGCTCTTGTGAGGTCTGGCTCCCTGCCACTTCTCAAACTCACTGGCCACAGTATAGGTACACAGGTTCCTTGTCTGTTTTCATACAAGCTGAGCCTTCACTTCCGTCCGCCCAAACTGTCTTCCTGTGACATCAGTGTGGATCCTCTCCTCGCCCTGACTAGAGAAGTTATCACCTCAGTCTTCCCGTCATTTTCAGGCCTCTTGTGGTTTAGCATGCTTGAGCTTGCGCTCTCTCTCTCTCTCTCTCTCTCTCTCTCTCTCTCTCTCTCTCTCTCACACACACACACACACACACACTTGCATGCACCTACACAGTCAAGTCCTATGAAGAAAAATGAGGCAGTAAGGGGTCAGCAAGTGCTGATGGGGAACCCATAGGCACATATGTGTATCTGCTCACGGTGCCTCCTCCTAATGCTAGTCAGTTTCCACCAGCTTATCTGCTTGCTCACTGCTATGTGCCCAGTCTTACAGGATGCCGGCCACAGAGCAGTGGAACTAAACGTGTACTGCACATTGCTCGACTCGGGGTGTGCTGGGGAGCTCTACCTCGCACAGGGCAGGTGCATGGTCATCCTTAAGGGAAGACAGCAGAGGGTGGCACTTACATTGTCTTCTACACTGTCCTGCATTTCAAGGGGGATTTGCAGCCTGTCTACAGCCCATGGGGCCCAGCCCTGAGCAGGCCCCACCCACTCCCTCCCCCTCTCCCCCACCACTTGGCAGCCTGGCAGCCTCTCCTCCCAGGCACACTGAAACCATGAATAAACTCAGAGAAAAAACCCTTAAAGGATAAAGATCAAAAGGTGAACAGTGGGGATCTTCAAGTAGCTGGATTAAGTGATTTTCTTTTTAACTTTTATAAGTTAGAAAGGAATAGTTGGAACAAAGTGAACTGACAGGTACCCCCAAATACAGATCCGCTAGGCTAAGGAAGGGTAACCCTACAGAATAAAGGATTTCTAAAGCAGCAGGGGGCAGAGCTCCAGAAAGCGCTCTCCCTCAGATGCTAACTGTCTAGGCTGCCAGGGAATTTGGGAAGGTGAGCCCTTGTGAAAATGAAGGGTATTTAGGATGCCTCCGCTGCCTTGAAGCGGCCTCAGCCTGCGCTTCCACAGCTTAGTTTAGTTCTGGATCAAATTCTTTTGCCTCATTTCATTGACAAAGAAGTTGAGGCCCAGAGTGGGTTTGGCCCTGCCTCCATGCCCACAGTCAGTCAAGGGCAGAGCTGAGGCGAAACCCAGGCACCCTGGGTCCTGGCTCAGGATTCCACTTACATTTCTCCCCTCCGCTCCCACGTTCTGGGAGTCCAGCTATCCTGGCACAAGGACTTCTCCACGGAGGCCCTCAGCTGTGGAGGCCACCTGGGTCATGCCTTCCGTGTCTGTCTCTCACTGCTGCATGAAGCTCAGGCGTGAGCACCTCATTCACTTAACCCTCACGGTGACGGACGTGATGCACTTGATGCTCATAGGTAAGAAAGCTGGGGCTGGATAGCTCAAACGATGGCCCTGGGTCATACGGCAAGGAAAAGGCAGGGAGGGGACTCAGACTAGATCTCCCTGACCTAGAGTCCCAGCTGCATCTCAGGAAAGGGTCGCTGAGTTCTTAGAGATGAACTGCAGCAGAGCACTGTGCCATTCTTGGAGGTCTGCACAGAGGGGAGGACTAGCGCGGGCTGAGGCTGGGGCTTCCAGGTCCACTGGTGCGACCGTGGCAGGGGAGCACCCAGGAGCTGAGGGGGCTGTGGGTCCTTGGGGCCCCCCAGTAGTACCTCTCACAATGTGCCTGCTCTACTGAGCACGCTCCTGCCCACTGAGTCCAGCGATGACCATCACAGTGTCCAATTCTCCAGTCACCCAGTAGGGCAGGACGGGCAGGACTCATACCCTCTATTTGCTGGCTAAGACCCCAAGTGTGTGGGGACCGATGACCCTGCCAAGGACACACAGGAATGGAGCTGGCCTGGTATCTGAAGAAATGAATGAAGAACACATGAACCCAGACCTTCAGGCCTCGGTGGTGCCTCTGAAAGGCCACTTTCCAACTTAAAAGCTGTGGATAGGGATCACTTCTGCCCCTGTGTCCATAGGTACAAGTGCAAGCTTTTCAGGTGACTCTCGCGCAGGTCCTTCCTCTTCTGCTCACAAGTCTGTACCTGCTTCAACCCACTGTGTGCCATCTCTCTAAAGCACTGTGTTCCCTCCTGGTGCTGTGCCTTTGCCCACTGTCCTGCAGCTGAGAACTGTGTTCTCTCCTGAGAACTCTTACAGCGCATGCCCGGAAAAGCTACTCTTAATCATCAGGTAGTTGGTGTTGGGCAGCGGCTGAGTGCAGGCTCTGGAGCCAGCGAGCTGAGTGTCCCAGTCCTACCAGTGCTGAGCTGTGATTCTGCTCCCGCACCCCTGCAATGTGACGCTACGGAGCCTACCCCTTCGCAGGACAGAGCCAAGATGCACCCTGACTGCTGTGAGCATCTGCTTCCTGGCCCGGCTCCTGGTCAGCACCCTGGAGCCTGGCTCTCAGTACAGTGGCCACCATGAGTGGACAAGAGGGGCTGATTTTCTGTGCTTAAATTAGCTGGGGAAGCAGTGTGGTTTATGTTGAGCACCTGCTCCGCTTCCGAGAGCCTGGAGTTTGGGTGTGTGCCAGGCAGAGAATGCCCATGTGACCACCCCCAGGGTTCCCCTGGGCAGTGAGTTTCTAACAAGCTCCCGCAATTGGCAGAGTTTTCTGTATGACCACAGCCCATGGCCTGGGAGCTAAGTGTGCCTGCCATTCTGTGGGAGTCCACAAGTGAGGGCACGGAATGCAAGCCTGGCTTACAGTCTCCGACTTCTCCCATGCACCTTTCCTCTGCTGACTTCGCTTTGTGTCCTTTCTCTGTAACAGATCAGAGTCATTGGTTTGGCTCTATGTGGACTCCCATGAGGCCAAGCAGCAAGTCATCACACCTGGGGGTGGGGGTCTGGGGAGCTCCGTGGGATCAAAGCTTGAAGTCCTTAGAACACCACCTGGCTGTTACCAGAAAGGGCCGAGAGTTTGCTGGCTGCCACCCGCTGGCTCTACTGGAGCACCATCTGCAGGGCTGTCTTTGCTTCCCTAGTCTGAGCCTCCCTCAACAGACTGCGAGCTCTTATGTGGCAGGGAGCTGCGTCTTATACTCGTCAGTGACTGAATCGCCAAATGACACAGACAACAGTCCATCCCGACTCTGCAATGCTTACGGTTGGTCTGGCCCATGAAAAGGGACTTGTGCCATTCTGGTATCACATTAGCTCTTGCCTAGAGAACATCAGGTGGCCCCACCCCTGGCGGTAGACAAGCTGTCCCCCACATTCAGTATGACCATAAAATGGATCCCAGCTCTCCAAATGAGGCCTCAGATCAGCTGAGCTAGAGCACAGGGCTGGTTACTTTCTGCTCTGGCCTCCCCTTCCTCTGACAGGAGCCTTACTCAGACAGTCCCCAAGAAATCAATTAAGTGTGTGATGCTGCAGCATGGAAAGTAGTGGATCAGTTTGGGGACCTGGAACACATGGCTCCCGGAAGAACGGACTGCAGACACATCTGCTGGGCTTCAAGTAACATCATGCCCTGTTCTGGGGAGCACATGTGGACCCAGGCTCCTCTTGGGGGATGCAGTAAACCCTGGAGCCTGCCAGAGAGACAGCGGGTGCAGAGAATGAGGCAGGTCTACCAAAGCCCTCTTCCTCCTTCATCCTTCTGCCAGTCTTTCTTTTTCTGCCAGCATGAAAGGCAATCCCCTCTGGCTGTTCCACCAGCTGTTATGATATTTGTGTAGTGATTTGCTTGCAAACTCTAAACATGGACTTAGACTGATATCCGGGGAAGGGCCGGTGACTATTTCTTGGTACCAGGAGGCTCTGTCTCTCATGGTTTTGGCCACAGCTGCTGAGGACAACTACTTCAAGCAGAACCTGTTCTCTTGCCCCCTAGGCCTCTGTTCAGGCTGTGCCTGTGCCAGACCCTCTCTTTCTCCTCTCTGGCACCTGCATGACTTCTGATTCCTCCTTAGCTCAGTCCCAGAATGGTCCCTTTGCCCCAGTGAACTCTCTGGTTTATTTCACTTGCATATTAATATTAACCAAGCACCTATCGTGTCCTGGAAACATACGGCAGGCACTATGTCATGTGCTGGGGGGCAGCAATGAAACCGCAGCGCATTCCAGTGCTTACCTCAGCACTTGCCCTACTCTAAGAGCCTATTCTCTTCAATGCCTTAGCTGTCAGACACACCACTGACATTCAGTGAACAGCTATTAAATAATAAGCACTACACGGTATGTAGTAGAGCGCTTAGACATTTTCAGATATTATCTTAATGTGATTGCTGCAACAGCCTTAGAACATGTGGAAGAAAAAAAGACTGTTACAAATTCTCTTTGATGCTTCTCCCGTGAGAAGTAGGGTCTGCTTCTGCTGCCCTGGAAGCTGGCTGCCCATGCTTGCCTTGACCAGTGAAATACGGTAGGAGTGATGTTACGGCAGCTCCAGGATGAGCCCCTAGGCTCTGGCTCAGGGCCTGGAACCCCCGAGCCCCTGAGAATGAAGTGCAACTCTCCTGCTGGGAAGACTCATGTAGAGAGGCCCCACGCCTATGGGTGTCCAGCGTGCGAATGCCATTTGGCATTCTTTGGACTACTGTAGTTGCCAGTGAAAGACCATGGACTGAATCTGGCAATACCACACAGAGCAGAAGAGGAGCCAGCTGAGCCCTTCCTGAACTCCTGGGTCACGCTGTAGAGGTGAATCTGCTGGATGTCTTCTAGGCCACTAAAATTTAGAGAAGTCTGTTGTGCTTTCTAAGGGGCATGCTATCTGTAGGTGCACAGAACTTTGGAACCACAGAACAGGCTTTCCAAAAATTTAATCTGAGGCTTCAAGAACAAGTAGGACTTAGCTAGACCACGAAGTGAGAAAGTCTGGCAGAGGCTCGCAAGAGTACGTGCAAAAATATGTGCAACAGCTCAGAGACACCAATGGCTTTAGGGGTGGGGGGTACTTATAAATACCTATTTATACATACACTGAATATTAAGCATATTTAACCACATTACTACTATATAGCTATATAACTATGTTATAGAAATGGATATATGTATGAAATTGTATATGCTGATATATAATGACATGTTAATAGTATTTATTCTTTTTGGTACTGGGGATTGAACTCACCACCTTGTGCTTGTCAGGCAGGAGCTTTAGCCACTGAGCTATCTCCTGGGCCAACAATATTTACCTTTGGGTGGTAGATGTGGATTTCTTTTTTTTTTTTTTTTTTTTTTTTTTGTGGTACTGGGGATTTAACTCAGGGCCTTGCACTTGCCAGGCAAGTACTTACTCTACTGAGCTACCTCCCTGGCCCCTAGATTTCCTTCTTGTATATTTCATTGGCTAACTATCTACAGTGAACATTTATTACTCGAGGGATAAAATATATTAAAAAAAATCAAAGCGTGAGAATGGCTACAGCAGGATGGAGAATCAGCAGGGGAGCCAAGTAACACATTGATGAGGCCGGAGAGGGAAGCCACAACTGCTTTACACGGTCAGAGATACCGGCCAGAGGCACTGGCCAGGGGAAGCCATTTGGAAAGCTTCCCTGGGAAAACCTGGTGACTCCAAGTAGGAAGTCCTGCTTTGCTCCTAAGTGAGAAAAAATGAACGTCCAAGCAGAAGGAGAAGTAGCCGTGGTTCACGGAGAATTGGAGCCCTAGATCAGCTGTGGGCTTCTTCCAGGCTTGCGCCACTCAACAGGTACACTATAAGTCATGGAGACCGGATTTGTGGCCAGGGCAGGACGACAGCGGCTACCCCACTCTGCACCTGATGGGCGCAGAGGAAGCACAGAAGGAGGAGCTGTTTGCAAGCCTTGGGATGCCGACAGAAGCTGAGAGGCTGGGGTGGCCACTAGCTAGGTAAAATGGTGCTGCAGGGTGTGGAATCTTCTCTCGCTGGGCTCTTCAAGCTCAGCGTCCAGTGCTTATTTCACTTCCTCAAGTGTGGTGGGACTTCAGTGTTCCTCACAGGTAAATCACAGAGTTAGGGAAAATAACGTACTCTGCCACTACTTAAAGACATCAGTGTAAGATGAAAAGTTTCCACTACGGCAGCCTAGGATGCTACACCTTCAGTGTAAAGGGCAGAGAAACAAGAGCAGAATGACTATGGGTACATCTAATCCTCCTCTTCGTACCTTTATTTTTTTGTAGTAAGTTGTACGTTGTAATCATAAAAAATTCCATTTTGGAAAAAGTAGAAGATTGGTTAAACAAAGGGCAGGAGCGACAGGTTGGGGACACCTAGCACCTTAACCAAGCTGGACCTTCAGTGAGCTGCAGGCCCTTCCAGGGCTCAGGCCTGGTGGACCCAGAGCCGCGCTCCTTCTGCCCATCCCAACACCTTTCTCTCAGGTGGTCAGAGAATCACTCCCGCAAGGCTGCGCACCCGACCCCAGCCTTGCTGGCCACACAGGGGCACACACTCCACAAGCCCCCCGGGATGGGGATCTCAGCTTCCCCGACCCAGACCCACCACCAGCCCTCCGCGTGCACCTGGTCTCCAGTGGGATGTTGCTGTTGAGCAGCCAGTTGTCCTGGGCATGTGCGGGCTCCGGGGCGCTGCCGGCAGGGGGCTCTCCGGAGAGCGAGTGGTCCGTGGGGGCTGGGCTGGGGTTGCTCCGTGGAGTGAAGTTGCCCCGGTTCAAGGAGCTGACGGAGGCTGCGTGGTGCTGGCTGGGGGTGTGGGCGTGGGAAAGTGGGGGCGGTGGTGTCCGGAGCCGGGGGTGGTTCTGCAGGCCTGGGTGATCTAGGGCACAGACAGCACAATAAGAGGGGGTCACTGGGTGCTGAGCAAGACCACGGGGAGCAGGAGAGGTGCACCACACAGCAATTTATACAGCTCAATGCATTTAATCAGCGTTTAGTCAGCCGACATTTACTGAGCACCTAGTCGTGGGGGTGGTGAACAAAAATTCCCACCTCCCCCGAGCTGAGCTGAAGTTCTCTAAGGGACATAACATAGAAGCTTTTTTAAAAAAAGACTAGCTGCCATGTCACCAGTGTCACCTTCTATCATTAGGACTTTGGTCTTTAAGCACAGTGGCGGCCTCAGTTTAACCTCCCTTGGAAATGCGTTTTAGAAGAAGGTTCTCCCGCCCAGCCTAGACTTGTGAATCAAGACCGCTGGGCAAGGCCAAGGAGGCCGACCCCACAGGGCCTCTGGGTGAGCTCCCCTGAGGCCTGCCCCTGGGCACACAGAGCGGTGCTCCGCAAAGAACAAGCAAGGTAAATAAGTAAACATACGTAATTAGCTGAGATGCTGATAAACCCAAGAACCCAAGCATCCAGGAAGGAGACTGTACACACAGGGGAAGTGGGGAGAACACGCGCCTTGTGACCTCAGGGACCAGGGGAGTGCTCAGCTGGCATCAGAATGGTGAAAAATCACCACTACCACCTTCTAACACACAGCATTTCTTCTGAGCCTTCCATGTCCTAGCAACTCACAGGAATATGTACCGCTTTTCACATTTTACTGATGAGGAGACTGAGATAACTAATTCATTTATTCCTTTCAGCTACCCAGAGCAACAGGTATTGTAATCATCATCATCCATTTATACATGAAGAACTCAAGGCTTAGAGGCCGTAAGTGAAGTCCCCTGGGTGTGTGGCTAAGTAGATGCTGCTTACAATGCACTAAAGCCAATAAAATCTCTGGTGACACCATAAACATGGCGTGTCCTGGCGGCAGATAAGTCCACCATCCATGTAAGCCATGTGCAGAGAGCCTCATCTGTTGAGGCGCATGCATTACGGGGGTGAAGAAGCTAGAAAATCCAGTTAAATTTAGTCACTTATTAGCCACTTAACCATGGTCAAGTCTTGTAATATCTTCAAGCCTGTTTTTCTCATCTGTAAAATGGGAGAAAGTGTATCACAGGGATGACAGACTGTGGTGCACTCAAATAGGGCAACCGATGGGCCTGGCCTGAAGGGCACAGTGTACAAAGCACTCTGCTGCTCGCCTCCACATCAGAGCCCAGTACTGTGTAGGGGGCCTGAGAGCCTGAAGAACAGGATCCGCAGCACAGCCACTCGATTCCAAAGGGTGTGCAGCGTCCTGGCTGTGGACGCTACGGGGCACATCCGGGTGCAAAGTGCTGCCAACGTGAGGGACGCCGGTAGTGGAGGGCACATTGCTCGCTGCTTCTTTGGCAATCCAATCTTTTATGCCAAAGAATTATAAAGCAAAACTGGTAGTGATTTGGGGGTGGAGGGGGGGACAAGTACCCATGTGGTCACTTCCTTCTCACAAGCTGCCGCCTCCAGCAGAAGCCCACATCAGACCCACACCCGCAGGTCCAGAGGTCGGAGTCTGCCCATCGGTGCACCTCTGCTTCCCAGCCTCACCTCTTCTTAGCTTTTGCCTGTCACCCACCCCTCAGTGACCCTTTCCCTCAGAGGACTGGAGGTCACCAAGACAACGAGGTGGCTAAAAGCTCAGCTCTGGTGAGGGCATCCCCAGCAAGGCCACAGAATGTGGACGACACCCCAAAAGGTAAGCAACCTCGGAGTCCTGAGCCAAAAGGGAGCTCTGCGAGGTGTGCTTGCATGGGAAGGTAGAGAACCTGGGAGCTCCTACAACCTAGCCCAGCTGAGTGGTGCCCCAACGGGGTCAGGAGAAGGGCGGGACTACTGGCTTTGTCCAGCTGTCCTTAGGCAGTGTTTTAATAGAAATATACAGAACCTGGGACAGAAGCCAGAAGCAGCAGCTTACCGGCGGGCTGAGGACCCCCTTCCCCTTGCACCACTGGCATTTCTGGCTTCTGGCCAGAGCCCCAGGCACCACACAGTGACCATCCACTGCTGCGATGCTCACCAGGATGCCAGCAGAGCACGAAGACCTAGGATCTTTCCTCTGCCCTAGAATTCCTCCTGTGGCACTTAATTGTCATTAATAGTGGCTCTCATGTACTGGAGAACCCACTATATGTGTCAAATACTTAGCTTTCCTGATGCCAACAACAGTGTTGGACCCGGAGGACAGTAGCAGGGCTGCCCCTGTTCTGTAAATAAAAAGCCAAGGCCTACAGAGCTGTTAAGTGGTTCTTGAAATCCAAATCTGAATTCTATCTTCCAAGACCACATAAAACACAGACTGTCTTAGTCTGTGGACAGACAGTGAAAATGCCTTCGAGGAAGAGAGGAGGGTCCGAAGTCCAGGGCAGGCCAGCTGGCCCAGCAGGCCATAAGACTTCCACTGGAGACTGAGGCAGAACGAGAGGCTCTGCTTTGTTGACTGCCTGGAAGCCTCACCAAGGTTCTGATGGGAGATTTCAAGTACAGGGCCACTCATCATAGACCTAAAGACAAACTTCCAGAAGGAAATTCTCTGGGGGGGACTAAGAATGTTCTGGCCCAAGCCCTCTGCGAGTTCAGCTTACTCAGTTGTGACCCTCTCCAGAAAGCCTCTCTTGAGGACCCCCTCAAAGCTCTCTTCCCCCAAAAGCTGACAGCAGCAACCCACATCTCCTACCTGTCTCTGCTTCACCCTGTTATGCACACTTACGCCCCTGGCTTCCTGTGGGGCGAGCGTCCCTGTGGCTGCTGGGCCGGATGATGAGGTCATAGAATGGAGCAGATTTGGGGCTGGTGAGATGGCTCAGTGGTCTAAAGCACCTACTTAGAACAAGCTTAGCAAAGCACAGGGACCGCGGTTCAATCCCCCAGCACCACATGCCAGCCAGCCCCGCCCCCTGGTGGGCTGAGCTGGCCACACACACACACAAAATAAATAAAAAAAAAATTAAAAAAAAAAAAAAAAAAAAAGAATGGAGCAGATTCACCGTGAGTGGCCCGAACATCTGTATCGGAGGGCTCCTGTGCAGTGCACTGTGGGCATGTGGAAAACAAGGGCGGACCACCTGGACCTCTAGCTGTGGGCCCACAATGGTCCATAAGTTGCCTTGAGGTAGAACTGCAGATGCTCCAGATGGGCCCTTCCTTATCCTTCCCTTCTGCCTCCTAGTCTGAGAACCCTAAGCAAAGGGCCTTGATGTGTCCCAGATTTCCAAGGGAAAGGCCCTGTATTTGAGAGCTAGCAATAGAGGTCTCGCTTATAGACCTCAGAAGGAAATAGGACCTTCCCAAGGAGCAGATGTATCCTCTAGCCTACAGGGACTGTGCTTTCTGATCCTCGGCCAGGAGGGAAGATGGGGAGAGCTACCGAGGGGTCTTCCTTCATCTTCCCCAGTATGCGCTCTCCTCGCTAGCAGGACTCTCAGACTCCAGGGCACTCAGCATCCACTGAGTACCCCTTCTGTGCCAGGCTTGTAAATGGGGTGCTGGAAATGAAACCATGAACAGGACAACTGTGGCTTATAGGACTTCTCTTCTGCTATCTACCGGCTGGGCGACCTGCAGCTCCCCTCTCCTCCCTGGTCCCTGGCCAGTGTACCTGTGCAGGGTAAAGGGATTCATGTCCTGCTGTCCACTTTTATGGTCTGTAGTAAAAGCGCTGTGCCCAGGAGAGTCTTGTGGTCAGGGGCAGGGCTTCTATAAGGGGATTCAATCACAGAGAGCCTGTAGCTGGGCGTGCTGTTAGGAGGTGGGCCTGACTGCAGGAAGCAGGCTGCACCCTTGTCCCCAGCCCCGTCCTGCCTACTCATTCATTTCCACTCTGCTTCCTGGCTGTGGTGAGATCGAGGCTTTGCCCCACCTGCCCCTTTGACGTGAGGCTACTGACTGGAGCCAGTGGCCATGGGCTGCATCTCGGAAACTGAGAGCAGCAGAGCCTTTGCTTCCTTCATCTGTGTTAGGTATTTTGTCACAGCAAGAAAAGGGTGAGTAACAACGGCCTCTGCGCAAGGGCTAGGCGCACAGGTGGGCTCCTGCCAAGCCCCATGTGAAAGGCCCAGCTCCACTCATTTCCTTATCCTCGGGGGCAGTGCAGAGCCAGACATGCTGGGGAGGGACAGCTGATCAGGCAGTCAGAGGACCATACACGTGTGAGAGCTCAGAAGGAGAGGAGAGCAGGCTGCTCCAACCAGAATGGATGGCTGTGCGTGGAGTGGCCAGGGAATGCAGATGGCCTGGGAGGGGCCTAGGTGGAAGCTGGCTGGCAGTACCAGGCTGAAGAATCCTGTCTTCACTGGGCTGGTGAGAGGCAGTGCCAGAGTCTCTTCAGGACTGAAGGAAAGCCCTGGTGGCCCCTGGAGCCTGCAGGTGTGGGGCAGATTGACTGCGGGCGCCTGGCTGGAGGAAGACTGTGGTGGGGCGCGTCACTGCTATCGTCATCACTGGAGAAAAGCTTTCAGAGCTTTGGCGCAGGCAAAGAACGGGAACATGTCACCAGCCCTATAGCCGAAGGCCAGCAGCCGACTCCAGGAAAGGTGCAGGCAGGGGGTTCACACCCAGTCCTGGGACAGGACAGGCAGGCGCACAGAGCTCTCCTGGTTGTGCAGTTAATGATGACCAGGTATGCACTGCAGTAATTAACAGGGCCCTAAAGATTGTCAGATATGAAAGATGGTGGTATTTAATTATCATAAAACACAAAACTCCACCTGCCTAAGAATGCCAACAGAAAGAGTTATTCGGCTTCCATTAAAATGCCATCGACTACCACTGACTCGGGCTGGTGATATAGTGGTGCTGAGGGCCTAGCTAATGAACCTTGCCCTACAAGACCAATTTAGAGAGGCTAGGAAGCTCTTTGTCACCCCCGTCGGCAGGCAGAATCTGATGGTCTGATTTTTAAACTCAGTTCTGTCTCCTTCAAGCTGCAGTCTCTGAGAATTTATT